ACGTTTTGCGGTTACATGAAATTCCGCTATTCGTCTAGTCGTTATTTCGGTGGAACAAAGAGATATTTTCATAAAACATTTAAGATTACACGCCAATAAACACATATATTGTAGGAGACCTTTGAAAAAATACATACCTACGGTCACGATTATTGAATCTGCAATAACAATTGAAGTATATTCAGAGATATCAAATAAAAAGGACTCAGTTGGATTAATGCTTTAGTAAAGTTAATTTGAAATCTTGAGCTGTTGAGGATTTGATATTCAAAACAGCGATCATTGATTGTTTACTTACACAACATATATATATATATATATAGTGTATATATTTTGTAGTATATATTGCGTGTATATATTTTATGTATATACACGCAACACACACACACACACACACACACACATATATATATATATATATATATATATATTGATTTTCCAAGCGTAGCTTAGATGTGTCACAAGGCCGAAATTAGGGGGCACCCAGTGATGAACGAACTCAGTCGTAATTGTTTTATGAGCCAAGCTTGCTAACCATTACACCGCTCTATATATATATATATATATATATATATATATATATATATATATATATATATATATATATATATATATATATGGTTAGAATGTTCGATTTCTGTCCATGATATCCGGCTCGAATCTCACTATGGTTATGAAGGTGACTTCTTGATGTTCTTGGAGGAGGCGATCCCAACGTCTGGCACTTTTGGAAATTGCCTGAAAACAATACCTCATGTTGATCCAAGCCTTTTAAGTGAATTTGGGTAGACGGATATCTTTGAAAATCCGTCGACGCTTGTGGTGGTGCTAGCACGAAGTCACAAGTCATCGCCCCATAGTGTCAGGGAAGAACAGCACTCTCCACAAATTAGTAAAAGCCAATCAAAGAATACATAAAATCACTTTCTGGATTCAGAGGGCTGATTTCAAATCCAGAGATGAATTTTAGTTGCATGAAAGTAGAGGGTAAACTTAATGATTGCTAATAGACCCTTATGTTTTTCATTTTTACAGTGTGGTAAAATGTTATCTGGCAGCGCGTAAGAAGTAAAACAGTGCCATTCAATTCCTATATGAAAACTGACAATTGACATTTATTCATGTTTACTGAAAACAAACATTCATCCACGTTTACTGAACATTTACATACATTAATCAGTTTAGTTAAGAGGGAATGATGTTTTACCAATAGTGACAGCAACATGCGTGTCAAGCAAGCCACGATTTGAGATACGCAGATTTGTATATATATATATATATATGTGTGTGTGTGTGTGCTTTTCATTAGCCCTATCCCATGTGTAGGCCGTTCAATCCGTCTGAAGATCGCGTTGCGTGAATCTCAACTCACGACTAGATCCGTCCTTTTATAGGTAAGCATCTTAAATTGGTAAGCGTTTTTTGGTCGGTCTAGGCAATCTAGACATCGAGCACTTTACTGAGTAGGTAAGTTTGCTTTAAGGCCTTTTTTTCTCTTTATTTATTTATTTATTTATTTTGTGTTGTCTTTATTCAAAACTGTATCTGAATAAAAAGTTTAAGATTTGCCAAGTTTGTTTTTTTGTTTTCCTTTATTAGCATATATATATATATATATATATATATATATATATATATATATATATATATATATATATATATATAAGGTGTGCTGAAAAGTTTTCATTCAGTTCAAAAGGCTCATCGCCCAAATATTTTGATGTTTGGTCATTTTGTCAGATGTTAGGGAGTTTGTGGAACTCAGAACTTTTCAGCACACCCTTGCGGGGTATATGGTGTATGTACATGTGTGCGTATGTGTGTGTGTGTGTACGCACGTGCGTACGAGTATCATATTTGACTATGTATTGGGTAGTATATAAAATTCTGTTGAAAACATGTTTTGTGATAGTTCGCTGATTGCCGGCGTTGATTTATCGCGTTCAATGATCATGAGTATAACGTCCGACTTCCATATAAGACAGTGATCAGGACGCCATTTTCACACTTCATTTAAAGGAAAACGACGATAAATTCAGTACGTTACTGTTAAATCGTTTAAGCGCTCGTACTGTGCAATTGCAAAATAAGACCTAAAATTATAATTTCGATTCCTTCACGACGACAAAAAGCCGCAATGCATTCAGAAAACAGTATGAAAGTTGCATCATCTGACTTCTAGTTGTTTCCGAAATTGAAACGCGTTGAAAAGTCAACATTTTTTATCGATGACGAGGCTAATGTTACTACGTGTTATTAGTTTGGAAATAAACCAGCGACGTTTTTTACTGACGCAAGAAAAAATGGATAAAACGTTTTGAATATATGTAACAATAAATGGTGACTAAGTAAAAAAAAAAATCTAATTTCGAAGAGACATAAGTTTTAATTTGATACAAATTTCAATATTCTATTTTCTTTTATAGGATTGGAAACTTTATTTAACAATCAACCCTCTCATCTACGTATGCGTGCATATACGTTTGTATGAAGCTACCGGTTTATGTACTTGTATGTGCACAATTTCATGTCATGTCCCGTCAGAATATAGAGGATCATAACTCACATTTTTTTTATTATCCGAGTGGATGTGTCCTCGACGGTTTCGGAATTCAGTTTTCATTATCTAAGACTAGTTACCACTCAAGACTAGAGAGCCCAATCTACTGTGCTATTTAACCTATTGCTGGGGAATCTTTATCATTCAGTCAGTTACGCGTGATACACGCTTAGGTGATCATGTATCTTTCGATACATCACTGACGAGGCAGATTTTTCCTCGCAGGAGGTCGCCATTTCTTTCTGTTGTAGACCATTTGCCATCCAAGGCTATAGAATCCAGTCTGTCCTGTTATTTAACCATAGCTGGTGGGGAGATGAAGAGGATTCATACCTTTCCCAAGTGTATCAGCATGTAAGTGAATGTAATGGATTCGACTGGAATTTGAACTCGGCTCTCCGATTCCTCAATCTGAGCCGCTATAAATTACTCCACCGTGAATAAAACTTATGGTTATATCTAGCCATTTTAACTGTAAAATGAAACCTTTGCCGCCAATGCGCTTAAATTCATAAAATCTAGCTATCATAGAGGAAAGTAATATTTATTTTACAAAAATGTGGCAGATGACCACAAAAGCAGGGTGTATTATAATTAAACTGAGCTAGCCACAATTCAGTCAGTCAGTTATGTGCCATGCGTGATACACGCTTAGGCGATCATGTATCTTTCCATACATGAATGACGAGGCAGATTCTTTTTTCCGCAGTAGGTTGCCATTTCTTTCTGCGGTAGACCAGTTCCATCCAAGGCTATAGAACCCGGCTTGTCTTGCTATTTACCCATTGCTGTGGTGAGAAGACGAGGATTCATACCTTTGCTAAAGGTATTAGCACGTAAGTGAATGCATTGGATTCGACTGGAATTCGAACTCGGCTCTCCGATATCCATTACTCTACCGTGCCTTTTTATCATTGCTAAGCATAATTTTGGAGATTATCTATGATTTAATTTCAGGCCTTTTGTTGTCGTTGATGGACTCTGAATAATAGTAATCGCATCATTATAATAATCATAATATATTTATATATCATTTAAATATCATAATATTTACATGTCATGATAAATATAATAATAGTAATCATACCATCTTCTCTATTTTTTTGCCGATATTTGCTTAGGTGGTCATAGTCTTTTATTGATTCACCATTCAGTTCTTCCATTCTCTCTTCTAATGACTTAGGAACTGTTTCAAACGCGCCAAGGACACGGTTTCTTGCCTTCTCCGGTTGAGATCATGATATTTTTTTCTATTATTTCACACTCTTTGAGTTTCTTTAACTCATATTCCTCACGAACTTCGACGTCTGGCTTTTTTCTTTTTCTTATTCCACTAATCCAACCCAGCCTTCTCGTTTCTAAAGATTGGTTGTTCTGGGTCTCAAAATCCCAGACTATTTTTAAGTGTAGTGATGTGATAATATTCTTGTAAGTAATAGTTACGCATATTTTGGTTTACATTTAAAATGATATTCTTACGTTTTCCATCTTCTCATTTTTCCATTTATTATTATTTCTTTCATATTTATTAATGAATTTAAATCCGATTTTTTTTATTATTAATTACTTTTATCAGTTTATAAGGAATATTTTTGTTTTTACTTTAACGTTATCGAAATCGTGATATATTTAAAATTTCGTCGGATGACAATATTATTTCTTTTTTGCTTTTCCACAAATTTTCATACAATTATTCTTACCGCAAAAATATCAACTGAAACAATGATACCATTCGAGCTACGATTAATTTTACCTTATCGCCTATTGTTTTCTATTCGAAATCAATATCATCTTTATCTTATTCAATACACATTATCCCTATTATTTATCATAATCATTATAACTCTATCTGTCATCAATATCATAATTATTTTTAATATCTTCCCAATACCATCGATATCATCATCACGATTATTTTCATCGCTCCTACTGATGCCATTGTTTAAGTAATATTTATTCATTTATTTATTCGCTTCTCTTTTATTTGTTTGCGATTTATAGTGCTAATGTAAATTTTAGCTTCCGGGAAACTATATGCATTTCCTATAACCGTTTTTGTTCCTATTTCTATTATTTTTTTCTATCATTATTTATTCATTTTTTCCGCACACGTGAATGCGCGTCTTTTCTTTATCCGAGGAACGCCAAGAAAAATCAGTTCAACTATAAGCCGCGTTGATCGCCTCCTGGCGGCGGAAAAAGTAAACAGCTTTGTACAATAAGAAAGGAACTCTTCCGAACTGACAAAATGGCGGCGATACAACCGGGAACGGAGACCGGTACTGCAGCAACGGTGGTGGTGATTGGAATGATGGCTCTGCTTGTAATTTAGACGGAACGCCGGGAAGGTAAGCACGAATAAAGCGATACAATTGGCAAAAATTGAGAACTATAGATAAAGGCGTAATGGAAACAAAGAAGACCAAACAAAAAGTTATCCTCCTTCCTAAAAAAATAAAAAATAAAATAATAATTAAAAAACGAAAACTAGTCAAAATGGTTTACGAACAATATTATTGTATGTGTTTGGTAAGAATTTAAAGCGTGGAAAATGATGGCAAATAAATTTTAATTATAATTGTATAAATATAAATTGAAATCTAATATAACTGAGAATTATGTGAAACAAGTTATTGTTTTTAAGGTTGCGAAATACACATGTATCACTTGAGAATAAAAAATATTCTTAAAAATAGTATTTTTATTTACTAAGCTCATAACGGAGGAGAATCTATCAGAATCAAACTGGAAGACGAGATTAGTAACTATAAGGTTAGAAAAATCACACAAGTAATAAATGAAAAATTATGGAGATAGATAATTTAAGACAAAGAGAAAGAGAAAGAAAGCAAAAAGAGACGGTGAGAGAAAAGCAAAAGCTAAGAGTAAGGGAAACAAAAGAGATTGTAAATAACTGAAAGACAAATAATAATAATAATCACTGATAAACTTTAATAATTAAGAGTAGTGCTAAAAAATTTTCTCTCGAGCTGGAAAAGTCATCCGCCTAAATTGATATAAAAACCAATGTCAGATAATGGACTTCGTCTTTTATGATTATTCAGCAACTCAAATACATCGAGTGTTCGTAAGGTCACTAAAAGCCAAAACTTATATTTGGCAATAGTTTTTTGTTTTGATTTTTTGAAAGTTAAAAAAATACTTACGCACAAGAGATCGAGTAGACCAACCAACCTTCGACCGCCACACCCACAGTTAGTAAATAAAGTACACTGTATTTCGTCTTAGAAATCAATAATTGTTCATCTGTTTTTAAAGGCGAGAGGGTTAATTGAATGGTTTTTGTCTATCTTGTGATTAGTAGTACCATTGAAGATTTGATTTATAAAATCGGTGGAGTAATGTAATGTAAGCTTGGATTGAGAAATCGGAGAGCCGAGTTCGAATTCCAGTCGAATCCATTACATTCACTTAAGCGCTAATACCCTTGGGAAAGGTATGAATCCTCTTCTTCTCTCCACAGCTATGAGTAAATAGCAGGTCAGACCGGATTCTATAGCCATGGATGGCAACTGGTCTATCGCAGATGGTAATGGCAACTTACTGCGGGAAAGAATCTGCCTCGTCAGTTATGTATTGAAAGATACATGATCACCTAAGCGTGTATCACGGATGGCACATAACTGACTGACTTTATTGAATTCATTCGGTGAAATAGATAGATAGATAGATAGATAATGTTTAAGCTGAGATAGATAGATAGATAGATAGATAGATAGATAGATAGATAGATAGATAGATAGATAGATAATGTTTAAGCTGAGATAGATAGATAGATAGATAGATAGATAGATAGATAGATAGATAGATAGATAGATAGATAGATAGAATTAAACTGAGACATATGTTTAAACGGAGGTAAATACGTTTAAACTACCCGACCTAGGAATTGACTCGCAATTACATTGTCAACAAATTCATGCAACAGTGCTTTAATCCACTCGGACAATTGCCAATAATATTGATGAACATTATCTTTTCTCGTATTATCGAAACACTTATTATTTCATAATGGCATCTTAGAATTGTCCAAGGAAAATAATACTAAAAATTTTAAAACATTAAAATATTTTCTGTTCACATTTTTTTATATTTTAAATTCTGGGCATATTTTATAAATCTCTATTTTAAATTTCAAATAAAATTTCAACAGTTTGAATTTCTCCGGAGGCTTATCTTCTAGCAATGTAAATAGCTTTAGTATTGAAAAAAATATTTTATTGAAATTTCGTAAAATCATATAAAGAGGAATTGACTGACTTAAAATAATTACTTTCACAGACTTTTATTACAAAATACCTTTTTCTCTATATAATTGATGCTCTAATGTAACACTGCATAATAAGTACACAAAATTTCATTGAACTCGGGGATTTAGCAATTTTTTTAAAATATGTGTTTTAATCAGAATTAGACTATCTCGATTGAGGAGTTGCAATTATTTACATTTGAACTAATCTGCACACTTTTATTGTTATTATCACAAAGTTTTGGCCTGTGTGCCCTCCGACCTTTTTCAGGTGTCTGTCAATCGGATTACCTTCAGGGAAATTCTAATGTCTTATATCGACCGTATTTTCCTTGTATATGGTGCAATAATAGATAGATAGATAGATAGATAGATAGATAGATAGATAGATAGATAGATAGATATTATGCAGTGTTACATTAGAACATGCACATACCAACTAAAAAAACTGTACATCTTGTTTCAAGGTTAAAAAAATTTAACGTTTCATCAGGTGGGAAATCACGGTTCTACTAATCCTTACTCATTTAATCCTCAAAAACACGTAAATCAAATTCTACAGCGTCCTTTCGGAGACACATCGGATGAATGACAATGTGAATGTTTGAACGTCCAAATATCTTATTTACTTGTGTGTATGTCCTTTGAAGCGACTGAATTGTAGGAACAGCCGATTTACGTTCTTCTTTCACCAGACTGTCGGGTAATCTGTGATCAGATTGTGATGATTCCAAACTCCTGCATTTATAGCTCCTAATTACACAGCAAAACGATTTGTTAAATCTTCGATATCCACGTCGTTTTAATATAGAAGCAAAAAGCAATAAATGCTTGAACTCTTCGCCACGTTTTATGGGACAAAGATCTTGGCTCTTAAAACAACGAATTCAAGTCTTCGTCTGAAGAGAACCATCTAGTTTTTCGGCCATACTGCGATCAAACTTTGTCCAGGTGAATTCTTTGATACATCATTAACACTTGCATAACATGGAATTGGTTTAAAATGGGAAAATCGATTCGTGCATACAACACTACATAGCACTTTAGTGCGCCTGAAATAAAAACGACCAACGGTAAAGGGAGACCAAATAAAAGAACAAGTTAATCAACTAAAGCAACATTTATATTCATACACATATATAGCTAATAAAAGTACACACGCGCGTGCGCGCATACACACACACTTATATATATGTATATACACGTGAGTCTGTAATATATATATATATATATATATATATATATATATATATATATATATATATATATATATATATATATATAAGTGTGTGTGTTGTCCACTAATTTAAAAATTCTATTTTAATTAAACATATATTTTGGGACGAAATTATCTTTGCTTGCTTTGAGGCAAAGAAATGGAGACTAAATTTTTTTCTTTATTTGTTTTTTGTTTTTTTTTATTTTACTTTTTTAAATTCTGATTTGTTTCTGGACAACATTCGGTGCGAAGTATTTAATCGCTAAAATATATAGTACCCGGGGGCAAATAAAGTGAGAATATAAAAGACAAAATGAGATAAAAAAGAAATAAGTGAAAAAAAAAAAATGATTAGGAAGAAAGAACAGCGGTATAATATTTACCATAGGAAAAAAAAAAAAAAAGAAAGAAAGAAAGAAAGAAAGAAAGAAATAGAATCATGGTACAAATAAACCACTTATTTTCAGGGACGCTTTGATGGGTTATGTTATTATGTAGCAAGGTCAATCCTCATTGGGTACTACATACTTTTTAAAACAAAAAACAAGGCATCTTTATAGGCTGCTCGATGAAGTAATGGTTAGCGAACTGGTCTCATTGTTATTGTGGAATGAGTTCGATCTACATTGGGTGCCGTATACCAAAGTCAAGATAATCTTACTAAATAAAAGCAAACCAAATCCATTTTTGCTCTGTGTCCAGACTAAACGAAAGAGTTCGAGGCACAACCGCGGATGATGATGATGGGGCTGCAGTTTGTAGAACATGAAGAGATTGGGGATGACTTTTCATATGGCGGCGGACGAATGTCGGCAAAGGAGCGGATGAATATTTCGCAGTTTGTATCTGCACTTTCGACCAAAAATTAGAAGCCATATTTAGACAGTACGCGAATTTTTTTTTTCTTCTTTTCTTTTCTTTTCTTAAAATACATTTTCTATCTCGATAACGAAAATAAAATCACTTACGGAACGAAAGAAAGTTTCCACTCGAAAATACATTAAAAACCTTTATTTAGCATGAGAGTTAAGCTTACGCTCCATAGATTAATATTCTGTTGTTACTTTAGCCGCTGTTGTTCCACTTATGGGGAGGGGTATCTGATGAGAAAAGAGGAAACTGATTTTTTTTTAAATAATTTTTTTTTAATTTTATTTTTTTATATTTCTTCTTAAAAATACAATAGTATCACTTGTATTATTTTTGTTATAATAATGCCACCATATTTCTGTTATCACTAATTTTCTTGGACTTTCATTAATGGTGTCATTGTTATTATTTTGTAGTCATTGAATCTCTGCTAGTAATAACTATTGTCTTTCGTTGGAGATCAAGTCTTCTTAGTGACCGGACAACCTACTGCCTAATTCATTGCTAATTTTATTTATGCTACCATCTGAATATTTTAGATGATTCATCTTCCATTTTTTTTTTTTTTTTCAATATTTTCAGCTTTAAAAAGCTCTTCAGAATTGACTCAAGCACACCCCCACCAAAAAAAAAAAAAAAAAAAAAACATTCGGTAAAATCGTAACCTTTATATATTACAATTTTTTCAGTTCTCACGCAAGGTCAAAATATATTTCCAGCTTTTAGCATTCTATCTTCGCAGTTTCCTGAAACAGCAAAATCCAGTGACAAATGTACTGACGATAGATTAGGGGGTTTATTTAAAAATCCCAAGTTATTCATTCATTTGTATCATGACATCACGTGTCAGAAGATTATTACGCTAGATAGAGCGGCAACAATGTTCTTCAAAACAGCATGACCTTTCTCATTATTCTTACTGACCCCCGTACTGTTGTGGCCTGAACAGCGACAATACTTCCTGAAATCTCTTGCTAAGGTTTTTTGAAGAACGGTTTCAAGTGTATCAATTATTATGGGTTCTGTAGCTTCTTTAATTTTCAGAAATGATTTTGTGATTTTTTCGCGATTATTTTGGACTCGTTGAATGTTCACACGCTCGTAGAATCTCATGTTTTTAGTAATACTAACGTCTAAAAGTGTTTTGGAACTGTGGTATTGCACTCTATTTGAATGTTGGAGTTTGAGATGATAAATAAAGATAAATAATGACCCAAAATATTTTTTTCCAAATTTGCCGTTTTTGAGGAAACGAGTTTAATGATTAAAAATCGTAGCCTTGGAATTTCATTCCAGTGATCAATGAAAACCTTACAGGACGATCTTATAAAATTTAATATTTACTGAAGCTTTATAAATTTTATATGAACCAGATGCATGGCACAAGCAAATTATTTCTAAATCATTGTACCACCAAACATGACTTCCATCTACTTGAAAGGAAAATTATACTGAAGAATTTAGTTATTTTATGATGTAATATGTCATACAATGCAGTAATTTTAGTGGTTTTCAATAAACAATGCAAATTTTAAAAATTTTATTATAATTTGAAACCAGCAGTATTATGGTGTTATATATACTTTTATCTACTTTTTTTTATTTTTTTAATTATGATCGATCAAATGATCTAACAATTCTTATTCACTGCGTTTTTTGTAATCTTTTACAATTTTTTTGCAGTTTTTACTTATCGAATACAGTAAAAATAATACATATTTTGCTTGTCCTGATTCATAATTAATATTCTGGTTGGAATATATTTTCCATTCAATGTATCTAATACAAAAGATATCAACTTTATTTGGATTTATTCCTGAAATAGTAAAATTTTGAAGTCAATTTGTTGCAAAATCCTGCGGAAATTAGATATTTCTGTAAAATGTTTCAAACTAGATTTAAAACTAAATGCTCAAAAATTTATAAAAGCTATAAATCTAATTTTTGACATCAGTACTTATCACATGAGAATTCAGCTTTCACACCGAGTGCAATGTTGATTTAAAAAAAAAAAGTGAAAACTCAATCTCTCCTACTCTTCCAAGTGCGCCAATGATTTGTCTGTGACATTCTAAAACAACAGCAGGATCTACCAGATCAATTTTTATCGACTAAACCCGGTCTCCTAACCTGTATGATGATTTCACTTGAATTCCAATGTCTCATAGAATTCTAATACGTCCTATTCTCTAAGAAGACTTCTAGTTTGTGCATATACTATTTGTCTACACTGTCAAACCCCAGTCATTTGCACAATTACAAATAAATGACCCTTCCTACCCAGTTATATCTATGAATACAGCAAATGTTTTTGTAATCTCATTTTTGCATGACTAATAGTAACTTATTACTATTACTAATATAATACTAGTAGCAGTAATAGTCAATGTATATCCGTTTTTAACATAACTGATGTTTAAGTTCCCTCAAATACGTTTGCCTAGACATTAATAATAGTAGCCATATTAGTAATTATAGTTGGAATCGATATTTAATAAGTTATTTAGTGTGGCACAAGGCTACAATGGTAGAGTATTCAGGATGATACAAACTCACAAGCAACAGATTTGCAAGAATTCAACTATAGCTTAATGTCACGTGCTAGTAAAAATAGTGGTACATGCTAGAAAAAGGGTCCTGACACCTTCAACTGTAATTCATATTTAAAAATGTCAGATTAGAACAAAAATGGCACACTGCTGAACCTCAAACCTCACTCTCCAGGTTTGATAGAATTCAAAATTGTTTACATTTCTTTGGAGGGTTGGAGGGTTGGAGATTGTTTCAACTCTGCAGCTATATTCCCATTGACACAACGTCGCAAGTATATCACTACGCCATCACTGATGCCATGGCAAATGTTCACACGAACTTCATTAATTCCACCAGTTCATATCTTTACTACTATGATACGCCATTCTACTTCTACGGAATCAAATCCTCCTCATTTCCTCCATAATCCAAATATTAGTAGAAAGGGTGGACTCCAGGGTGGATGCTTTCCTAAATACTAAAATCATAACTTTCCGAAATCAAGGATCAATCGTTATCTATCCTCCTTACTTTTATAATCTTCATTTCCGATTACCTCCTCTTTTATTCGTATGACTCATTCGTTATAACAATTTTAACAATAACGCTTTACCTGGAGTGGCTCTCGTGCTTTCATAGGAAGAAGTTTAGTGTAAAAGATAGTAGTATCAGTTAAAAGAGTAGCATTTACTTCATCATCAACAACAAACAGTATATAGCAGAACTAACCTCAGCATCGACAACCCCATCATTGATAACATTATCTGTTTATTAAGATGAGAAATATTACTCATATGGTCATTGCCATCTCATCTTAAGGATTTTTATGTTATTTCATCATTATTGCCATTGTATTTCTTATTTGAAATTTCATTATCATTTTTACTGATTTTGCTTTCATTCCCCATTTCCGTTGAGCTACTTTCTATTGCTGCCATGATCATTATTATTTTTACACCTACGCACAATGGATGCAATCACCTTTGCACATAAATGCAATATGTGTGTATGTTTGCTTTTGAGGTAATTTTGTTCTCTGGAAGTGGCCTATAAGCAAACAGGCGCCGTTATCTTCTCTCACTGCCGTTGCCTGTATTTTGGAACGAATGGTTTTTGGCGCGTTAAGCATATTTATATAAAAATGGCGACTCCGGGCTGTCAGACGCTTTTAAGCGTCGGCGCTCATCCGTGAGGCACCTGTTCGAGTAAATTGCGACCTCGGTTCTTCTCCCTTTCTAGTTCGAGGCGCGAAAGAGACATGGCAGGAGCTTTAGATAATTTCACTTCTACATGTGAGAGAAAGTGAGGAGGAAAGAGTAAGTATGTTTGGAGGTGAGAACGGAATGGAGATTAGCAAAAGAGAAAGTAAGAAAAAGAAAATAGATTATAAAATGTTTGTATGTAAGAGAAGGTATAACGGTGAGGACGGGTGGAATAGCACAGTGAGAGTGGGGGATGAATGTATTCGTGAAGATGCGCCATTTTACAAGATTAGGGATGATGGCGTATTAGATAAAAGTAAAGACCGAGAAAAATTTAGAAGGCAACGGACTCAAAAAGAAACAAAAAAGCATGACAAAAATAATTAAATTTATAAAAATGTTTATGATTATGTGTGTATTTCCCAATAATAATAATAATAATAATAATAATAATAATAATAACTGGCCAATCGTATTCGAGGGTACCCGTCTACTAGGGCGGCTAACAATTCCCTTTTGCAGAGTTTCGCTTAGGCACATTTTTGTTTGCTCAACACCCACAGATCCCACCTGTGGTTTATACTGCAACTATGTTGAGAAGACCTTAGTTACAGTTTCTGAGAGAGAGCGTGTTATCTAGAATGATCAACAATCTAAGCAACACCAGTACACTAAAACCCTCGGTTACGATGACTTGTGACGTCGTGCTAGCAGAGCTATCAATGACCCCATGTATTCCGTCTACCCAATTTCACTCACAAGGCTTGGGTCAACCCGTGGTATGGTTTTCTGTATCTAAGTACTGTTTTACACACACACACACACACACACACACACACACACACACACACACACACACACACACACACATATATATATATATATATATAAGTGTGTGTGTGTGTGTGTGTATTAGAGCGACTGGTGACTGTTTCTTTTTAATATAAGTAATATGTATATACAAAGCAAAAAATGGCTACTAGTGAAGCTAGACAATCCCTATCGCAGACGCCTGCTCAGGGAGATTTGTGAATTTTGGAGTAACTTATTTTTAAATTTACTAAGTTTTAAAGGCACGGCAAAAATTCATAATTCACTGTTTCCAAGGATACAGAGAAATCCACTTATCCAGACAAGGGGTGGTTGCGGGTTCATTTTCATTAACTTTTGTTGTATCAGTTATTAGTTACGTTTGAAAAAGGGATTACGTTTAGGTATTCGCTTGAGAATGAAA